TGGAGTGCATGGTTTCCTCACGCTGAACTGCGCGCTGATGCTGGGAGGTTTCTTCTTCTTGTGCAGATGCAGCAGCGATTTGGTGATGCGGTCGTGGAGCGTCAGGCAGCTCAGATACTTCAGTGATTTCACATCCAGCAGGTGCTGCAGACACACAAACACATCCAGCATCACGTCAGCTGTTTCTCATCAGATACTCTCAACACATCACACTGAGCACGTCTCTTAAACTCTTCATATCCAGCGACCTGACTAATGAATCTGGTTTAATGTGTTTGTGTACAGTAAATACTTCTGTATAACATATGCATGCTTATATTTAACACATAATTGCTTTTTCCCCACCATAAGGCCATGAAAACCATGTGATCATTGGGTAGCTGGAATTGATTATTGTTAAATGTTATTACTTTGTACATTTATAAATGTACATACAATTTTAATAATTATTTTATACATTTAAAAAATATTTTCTTATAATAAATATATTTAAAATAACGTATATAATAAATTTGTAAAAGTATATAATTTAAATAATTATTGTATACACACACAGACATATATTTAAATGCATGTAACTATTCAATAATTATTGTAATATTATAATTAATGAATGCATTATTTATTATATTTTTTATAAATGATATATTTTAAGAAATAATTTAGATATTTTTAAAATGTATATTTAAATAGTTTATATATATATACACACATATATACTCACAAAATAATAAAACACAGCAATGTAATCTGAACTAAGTAATCTGATTAATAACACATCTGCTTTAATGACAGATGTTTGGATTAAGTAAATTTACATGTTTCCTCACCAAAAGGCCAAAACGATCATGTGACCAAAGTGATCATGTGACTGAGCTTTGATTTAAAGATACAGAATTAAAATGCATGTGTGTCAGTGATGCAAGACGCGTAAAAGTGCTTTAAAATCGAGTGACAGTGGGAGGTTTACCTTCGGGAGGCTCGGCTTGGTCTTGTAGCTCTTGTTTCTCCTTCAGGAACAGAGAGAGTTTGAGACAGAAAGAGTGAGAGTCAGAATCAGAGCGAGTCTCAGCTGAAGTGTGCGGCTGTGTTCAGACTCACATCAGGATGCCCTGCGCTCGCTCCAGCAGCTTATTATTCAGCGAGTTCACGAAGATGCCCTCGTCTTCCTCGCACCTCCTGAGACACAGCACAGACAGAGGATTGTTACGCTCGCACCAATAACACATCACACCGCTGCCGTTCATCACGCTTTAACTGGCTGAACTTCTTTCATTGCTTTCATTGGATTACTTAAAGCATAAAAAATATATTTATTTATTTAAATAAAATAAATATAAAAATAGCAAATGAAATACTAAAGATGGAATATTTTATTTGTATACGTGCTATAATACAAATACAATTATTTTTATACATTGAAAAAATTACATTGTGATATAATTAATTTTTTTTATGTATACTTTTTAACTAATTATTTGTAATAATGAATAATTTTAATAAATAAACTTTTAATTTTGATAAATGTAAAAATAATAGTTTTATTATTGTATATTGAATTATTATATTTTTTGTTTACCTGCTATAATATAACTAAAAGTATTTTGTACATTTAAAAATGCATTTTTTTATTTTTTTTTTATTTTAGAAAAACTAATTAGAAAAATTTACTTTATTTTTGATCATTTTTAATAATTAAGGTGTTTTCATTTTTTAAATAATTATTTAAAATATACATTTGTAATAAGTACTTTTTTTAATAAATAAACATTTATTGAATTTATTACAATTATTATTAATTACTGAACACTGATGTATTTTTTCACGCAGCCACTTTATAAAATCAATAAACCAATGTGCATTACAGTGACTTTACCAAGTTTTGTTCTTAAAATGTGGTCCAATCTACAATTTTATCTACAAAACAATCAAAATTGTGGTGTTGTATTTGTTTACCTGCCATAATGAAATTAATTTGTAAAATCATGAATAAAATGATTTTGCACATTTAAAAATGCATCGTCTTTTAAAATAATGAATTTAGTTATTAAAATGCATCATTAAAACAATGATTTTTAAAAATTAATAAATTATTATTTCATTTCTAATGAAAAGAAAAACAACATTTTAATAACTTAATATTTATTGTAATTAAATTATTAATTTCTTTATTATTAATCATAAACATTTATGTATTTTTACATGCTGCCTTTTTATAAAATCAACACAATTGTGCATTAAAGTGACTTTAGCCTATTTTGTGTGGTACAGTCTGGTGTTTTATTTGTTTCGCTGCATGTCATGTGACGGATCGGTGAACATGCGCATGTGTCGTTAAATCATCGTGATACGAACTGAAAGTCTCCGGGGAGCTTGAGACGGATGTTTGAGGGGTTTTCTTCTGTACCTGCTTGTTTTCTGGCTGAGCGTGTTCGATCCCTGCAGGTCTGATAGAGGAGTCCTGCGGCTGATGCACCAATCTGACGTTCAGACAGACAGAGAGAGAGAGAGAGAGAGAAAGAGTTCACATAAAGCAGTCACAGACGAGGAGGAAGATCAAACCTCCAGCAGCTGTAAAGTGAGACGAAATCAAAGCCTGTTCACACAAACATCCTGAGAAATCAACAATAAGAACAAGAACCTCATAATTCATACCATTAAAGGTGACATATCATGAAAATCTGATTTTCCAGGTTGTAAGTGCTATAATCAGATCCCCGGTGCATCTACCAACCAAGCAAACGTGAAAAAGATGAACCCAGTAACTTTGTTTTGGGAAGACTTTTTCTGCAAGCGTCTGAGAAAACGAGCGCGTCTGATTTCGCTCCCTTGGTGACGTGGCAAAGGGATCTCATTATAATATCACCGCCCCTTAATCTGTAAACTTCCACTCATGGCGCTATCATTTTGATTTCGCAGGCCACAACGGTGTAGCAGCTCTAATGCCATGGAGAAAGTTTGAGCAAAACATGCTAACTGTTCTGTGTTTGGCTGCACAGACGAGCACAGAACACTGTTTAGAGTCCCAGCCTCAGAGGAGACAACAGAGCAGTGCATTTATTGATTTATTTACTGTATATTGCTGCTGCCACACAGATCTAAAATAAACA